TTCCTGAAACGTCCCAAAAATTCGGCGAAAAAAAACTTTCTTGTATCCTTGGCCCATATTTATATCCTCCCAAGCACTCAAACAATGTTTATTCATTTATGTTCTGAAATTTAAAATCAAAAAAATAATAAAATTTGGATGAAAAATTCCAAAAACAAAAACTAATGTATAATTTTTTTGTGTTTGAAAATTTGTTCCTTCAAATGAGCTTTATGCACAGTTTCTTCTTTCCCATATTTTATGACATTTGTGCAATACAGTTGTTTTTTTTTTTTTGCAGTGCCTCAGCCTCATTTTCATTGCATTTTAAAATTTCAAGTGTTTATGGTTTTTCCTGAAATCGGCTCATGTGTTCTTTTGGCCTTTTGCGGAGCTGTATTTCTCGATTTGCTTTTTTTTTTTTAATTAACGTATTTTCATATAATTGAAAAATGTGCACTTTTCATGGCGAGCTTAATGCTGTATTTATTCGTACAAAATTTTGTACGGTCTCTTTTTGAGGCATTGTAATTTTTGTACATCATTTAATTATGCAAAACAAGCCAAATTTGTCTGTGTAAACAAATTTGCTGGAGCCAGGAATTAGCAGAGTCAGAAATCTAGTACCCCCTGCAAAGATCGAATAAGTCTTCTATAGTCCTGACTCCGACTAATGTGAAATTTTTCCCGATAAAATGAAATTCGCAAAAGCAGGTGGCAGGAAATAACTGAGCTTCATTTGTGTTTGTTTACTATGGATTCTGAATTCTTTGATAGGAAGGGCTAGGAGGTTCAATTTTGTTATAGGAATTCTTTTTTCTGATGTTTGAAGGGGACGTATTATGAGTTTTATAACGGCATTGATCTCGATTAAATTCAGTTTGATAATTTTGAATCCTAGGAATCAGTGAAGCTAGGAAGCTGAAATTTTCGGAAATTCGAGCAAATCTTACTGGTTTGCTGCTGATTTTCGAATGGCGTGCAAACTACAGTTCGTTTTCGCAATGCCACTTGCTTCATTGCTTTCAACCTCAGACCACGCTTCTGCCTATTTTTATTAGATCTTCGAATCTGTTTGGGGTAACAGATTATGTTTCCTCTACTCCTTTTGGAGTTCTATTCTTTTTTATTGAACTACATGCTAAGATTGGCTCGAAAAAGTAATTTTTAGTAATTTTTTGCTGCTGTTTTTGGTCCTATACTTCCATATGCATTCCGATCCTCCTCAGCTAATAGTTATCCACTGTGTCTTGCATTTATACAACGACTTCTCGGTATAATTTATATGGCATTTGTTTTGTTCTTGTTAAATCGCTGTTGTTTTTTTCTTCCTTTCATTGTTACTAACAGTTTTATGAATTATCTTCTGTTTTGTTTTGTTTTTTTCTTGAAATTTTCACCATGTCAAATGAGCGGATCTCCAACTTGCTGCATCCATTTTTTTTTTTCACAAATACGCTACATTCGATTTTTTTCAGGAATTCGTTGTTTTGTTGCCTCGCATTTTTATCTCCACTCTATCTCATTTTTTCCTCAGTTAGCTTGCCTTAATAAATTTTTGCGAAAACTGTCCAGTAATATAAAGAAGAGTTATATTCTGCAGTACCTTAACTTCACAAGGTGAGTTCACTGCTTGATCAAATCAGTTGCCATGTAATCGGTCTCCCTCGGCCGGTAATTACAATAATATCAATAAATAGTGGCGCGTGCCAGGGCAGCCGATTCAGTCATGCGTTTTGTACAACTCTGTCCACCAACGATTGCCTATTAATGATTTTCACTGCTTTGCATTTTGGTTTGAGCAAAAATAGTTGAAAAATGTTGTCTGGTTCCTAAATTGCGCGATTTCCCACCAAAAATTTATGCAGAAAAGATAATAATTTCTCTGTCAAAACTTTCACGGCTAGATCCGAATTTGCAAGGTCATACGTTGGTGGAGGAGGTCACTTTAAAATTTCAGATTCCTAGCTTCCGCGGTTCCCGAGATAATAATTTTTCTTGCCGAATCTTTCACGCGGCCGTAAGTGATACTCGGACGCTCAGGAACACTGAACTTAAAATTGTAGGATTATATGTGGATAGAAGACATTACCGTAAAATTTCAGCTTCCTGGCTTTTATGGTTTCCGAGATAATAATTTCCTCGCCAGAACTTTCATGGAGCCGTAGGTGATACCCGAGAGCGCGGGGACGCTGGATTTGAATTCACAAGGTCGCACATGGTCGGGGGGTCATTATCCTAAAATTTTAGCTTCCGAAATTCAATGGTTCCCGAGATAATAAGTTACCTGCCAAGCTGTTCACGGGCACGTAGGTGATACCCGAGAACTCGGGGATGCTGGATTTGAATTTGCGAAGTCGTGCGTGGGCAGGTGGTCATTACCGTAAAATTTCACGGTAATAATTTGCCCGCAAAAATTTTCACGAGGCTGTAGGTGATACTCGAGAGTCTGCGAATGCTGAATATGAATCTGCAAAGTCGTGCGTGAGCTGTTGACCATCACCTTAAAATTTCAGCTTCCTAGATTCTGTGGTTTCCGAGATAATAATTTATCTGCAAGGATTTTCCCGAGGCCGTTCGTATTACTCGCGGACAGGAGAAGGCTGAATTTAAATTTTCTCGGTAGCGTGTATGGGCAGGGGACATGCCCACAAAATTTCAGCCTTCTAGCTTTCATGGTCCTCATGATAATGACTTTACCCGCCCGAACTTTTACGGGACCGTACCTGTTGCCGCAGGTACGAGAGGCTGAATTCAAATTTTCGGGGTCACACGTCAGTGGGGAACGTCCTCCTTAAATTTTAGTTTCCTAGCTTTTGTGGTTCCCCAGTTGAAAGTTGCGGACATACACAGACAACCCCGCGACAATATGCGTTTTGTACTGCTGTTACACAGCAAAAAAGGCATAAAAAGTGGGGTTGAGGGGTGGGAGGGGGAGGAGAGGGAAGTAATTAAAGGTTGGAGGTTAGAGGGTAAATGTCGGTGAGTAAGAACCGATAGTGCTGGTTTAGTTTGCAGCGAGTTGTAACGGAGGGGAGGGAGCTGAAACATTGACTGGAGAAGAGGGGCTGAGGCATTGCTCAAAAAAAGGAATTGGGAATAAGCGAGGATTATTGAGGAAGACGGGAACGGGGAGGGGGAGGAGTGTACGGATTTATGATGTTAAGCAAGAAACTTGGGCACAAAGTAGAATGCTACTAAACTTGCGCTCACAGTTCAACCG